TGGGTGTCTTTGGATGTGTGTGTGGGTGACTATGGAGGCTGTGTTGGTGGCTATGGGTGATGTGCTTGTTGGTGGCTTTGGGTGTGTGTTATGTTGTGCTTGAGTCTGTGGGTTGGTGGTGGATGTGATTTTGTGTGTGTTGATGGCTCTAGAGGTTGTGTCTGTGGGTGTTGTGCTTGTTGGTACCATGTGGAGGGGGTGGGTTATGGCTGTGATGGGGGATGGTTTTTGCCTGGTTGGTGGTTGTCTTGGGACCGGACTGTGGCTAAAATCAAGTATGTATAGTGGAAAAAATCATGAAGGTATTGGGATTTTCGTTCTTTCTATATCAACAACAGCATCAACACATTTTGGATTCAATTTTTGAACAGATTTTAGTTCTTGTATTTTCTTGTTTTGATTTTTAGGGGTTTTTGAGTTTATGGGTTTGTTTTTATTAGAGCTTTATTTTTTATCCTATTATTTTTTGTTTTACTAGCTATATCAGCTTCATTCTTGATTTATTTCTTTAATTAGTAACGTAATGGTTAAGACCAAAGAAGTGGCTTCATCAGCAATGTGAGATAGGGAAGTCACAATCATATTTTATAACGTTTGTATTAAAGAGATTGAGCTTAGAAATAGACCCACCACCTACTTTAACAAAGAAGAGTGACAGGATATTACGAAAAAGTTCCATGAAATGACAAGAAGGGACTACGATAGATTAAACTTTAAGAACAAGTGGGACCAGTTGAAGGAGAACTGGAAGGTATGGAAGGAACAAAAATGGTGATCAACGGACTTGGGTTGGGATATGTGGGACCAAAGAAGTGGCTTCATCCAATCAAGAGAAACATTACTTGCTATATCAGTTTCTTTCTTGATCCATTTCTTTTATTAGTAACGTAATGGTTAAGACCAAAGAAATGGTTTCATTAGCAATGCGATATTGGGAAGTCACAATCGTATTTTGCAACCTCTGTATTAAAGAGATCAAGCTTGGAAATAGACCCACCACATACTTTAACAAAGAAGGGAGGCAGAATATTACGAATAAATTCCATGAAATGACAAGAAAGGAGTATGATAGTTTAAAATTTAAGAATAAGTAGGACCAGTTGAAGGAGGATTGGAAGGTATGGAAGGAACAAAAATGGGGATCCACGGGCTTGAGTTGGGAACCTATCAAGCGAACCATTGATGCTTCAGATAATTGGAAGACCGAGAAATTGGAGGTCATAAGTAAACCCCTAAATACTTGTTCTTCCATTCATTTGTTTTGACTAATATACTTTCTCGTACGTTGCAGGTAGTGCCAACTGCCAAAAAATTCAAGGTAAGTGGCATTGAGCCAAACCTAGAGGAGAAGTTGGACCACATATTTAGTGGAGCTGTTGCGACGGGCATGCATGCGTTCACCCCAAGTGAGCATTTATTTACAAGCATACCAGATAACTTGGAGGCCAAGCAGATAGGTCGGTCAGGTGAAAGCCCCAACCCAAACCAGAGGGAGCTGAGTCCACATGCCAGTCAAAGCGGCCTAAGGTGGAGAAAAGGAAAAAGAAAGAAGTCATTTCTGTCATAAACTTAATAAATAAACTGATAGAAGTATGCAGTGCTCAATCGAGTCCTTCAAATGACACCATCATAGATGACTTTCTTCGAGTTTTGGATATATATCCTAAAGTTAGGGCAAATACGTTGTTTTATTTGAACGTCTTGGACCCACCCGCAGGCAGATATTCATGAAGATGCCCCCTAGAAATTTGTGTCCAATATTTACGTTTTTTATGGACAATTGATTCAGTGGCGTTATTGTTTATTGGCTTGTCTTTTTTCATTTTTTTAAAGCATTATTTGACTTGGATGTTTTATCTTTATTGCACGAACAATCAATATGTTGTTTTATAATTATTTTTGTTCCCTAATAATTAATCTTCATATTTTGGATATTCATTTAAATGTTGTTTGATTTGTTATTATTACCTGTACAAAACACTTTTCTATGATGGATTGACAACGACTGCGTCGTATAAGAATAATTACTGCGACTATGATTATCATGTGCGAATACAACTCCTATGTCAATCGAACTCCATGCCTGGCATCGACCTTTATTGATGATAAATGGGTCGGTGAGCTACTACAATGACACCTCACACGATTCAATAACATGTTCCGTATGACAAAAATCATATTTTTGGATCCGCTCAATGAACTACAAGCCATCATGGACTCCACAACTCCACAAGAATGACAACAAGAGAAGTGTTAACAATAACCTTCTACATTTTATTACAGATTAAATCAATGAGAGGAGCAATGAAGCGATTCCAGCATTCATCAGAGACAATAAATAGGTATTTCTTCAATACAATCCTGCCATACATACTTAAGTCTTGTCAATTTGTCGTCAAAAATAATTAAGTCAAAGAATCAAACACTTGAGACAACTTAAACAAAAATTGCAAATGGTCCGCACTTATGATTCTTTAAAGTAATTCTTTGTAACATAATACATTCTGAAGTTGAAATGAGTTACGTGACAATCACAACTTTAACTAATTTGGCAGGACTGTATTGAAGCGATTAAAGAAACCCATCTGAATGCGCGAGTATCCAACACTGAAAAGATCGCATGGATTGAAAGATGTGGAACGCCCACACAAAATGTGATGGTCGTATGTGACTTTAACAAACATTTTATCTTTTTGATAGCTGGTTGGGAAAACAGTTCACATGATAGTCATATTTTTGCTTATGCGAGAAAAATTCGAAGACACGACTTCTCTCACCCACCTCCAAGTTCGTTAAGTTATATATCACATTCATTTTTTTCAATATTTTATTACTAAATATGATTTTTAGGTCAAGTAAATATTACTTGATCGATGTTGAATATCCCTTACAAAGAGGGTATCTGGAGCCGTTTCCAAATATGAAATATCACATTTCAGATTTTGAGAGATCTAGCAAAGTTGCTCATGGCAAGAAGGAAATTTTTAACAAAATACACTACTTTAACTTCTGTAGATAAGTGTAACACCTTTAACTTCTAAGTTTATTTGACAACATTTCAAACTTCTTTTACTGTAGATAGAAATATGTATGGCACACAGATTTCCAACATCATAGTATTCCACAACCATGTCATGATTAATGGAAGCAGTTTAATCCCAAAGCATGAACTTTAAGTCTTTCAACTCCTAAGACAGACTACAGATAGTTGGATCTTTCTTTTTCCCTATTAAAAATGTCTTCAAGAGTTGGGCACATTTGAGATAATTTATCCCATCCAAGAAGTAAGAGTCATGAAGCCTAAAGAGTTTTTCTTTAATTTCATTTTCATTATTTATGATCGTCGACTCCTTGAAAGGGGTATCAAGAAAACCGTACGTAACGAAGGGAATGAAGAGCTTCAATTGGAAAGGGACTGGGATAGAAAAAAGGCTGAAAGCATAAAAATCTATCATTCTGATACAGCATATAAAAGAAGTGGCTAAGTTTAGAAACTTCTTTCTTCCAAAGAGTATGTATATAAAAACTACAAAAAAGACAAATAATTACAATAAAAAAATATAAAAATTGCCTTCAGCTATTGATTGTTTGATTAATTAGACATCATCAATTGATGTCCAAGTGTCAATCCAAGTGCACTTTCTTTATTTCTGTATATGAATCCATGGGAGACGTACTTTCTTATAAGCAATGAATCCTTAGTATCTACTTTTCCTTATCTAACACTGCTTGATCTAACCAACCTTCAACAAATCCGCCGACTGTGCAACACACTTCATCATTATTAGTTTTCCAATTAGCAAACATGCCGAACATACAAAAAAAGTTTTCTCTCAGGAAACATCAATCACTAGAAAAGTAATTAGAATTTCCAATTTTTAAGATTTCACTGACTTCATCTTTTCGACACCACTAAAGCTCATTCTAGATCTCAAACATAACAACTATTTATCGCATAAGGAAAATAATATTTCACAATTCATTCAAATTCAAACTTAAATTTGATTACTATCCAAAGCATGCAAACACTTCTAATTGAAAAAAGGGTTTGGTTATAAGGTTGAGTCCATATATATGATGCTTAAAGAAAATTTTTAATAATTTGAAAAAAAAAAGATTGTTGCAAATTTGAAATAAAGCCCTAATAAATCATAATTTCCTGGCGGTAGAGTATCAAGATTGGTCCTTGAAATTAAGCTTGGTCTAGAAGACTTTGATTCCATCAACATATAATATAATGTTAGAAATGATGCTTCTAGGCATTATCAATCATCAAGCACAAGAAAACATTGTTGAAATCATTCATATATGTTCATATTCAATCTAGAAATATGAATATTAATGACATATGTCATTCTAAAATCTATACTTCATCAAGTATCTCATTCAATACTTAAACCTACAAATGTCACCGTCTGTGGAGACTCAGGAAATTGATCAACCAATAGACAAGGACGATAATGCTCATCATTCATTCAAATTAGCTAAAAATTACATTGAATAGTTTAATATATAAATTACATCTTTTGAAATCATCTAATTAAATGTGCAACTGCAAATCCCATGAAATTTCTTCCACTGGACATCCACCAACTTTCTATTCCCTACTTATTCACATGCTTTCCCGTTCAACTACTTATGTAAATCTAAGTAATTCGCAGGATACACTGAAAGCTAAAAGAAGATTACAAAATCTGCAACAAAAGTTGATGCATGTAATGTGCATACTAGTTTTGAAGTGTCAATAATACTATCAATTATAAATTAAAAATAAAGAATCACAATTAGAGAATCATGAAGCAAAAAATTGTTGCAAAAATAATCTGCACCAAATAATCATAACCATGACTGTGTCGAAACATTTAAAGTGCATAATGGTTTTGACATTTGAATCATGAAATCACATTAAAATCAAGAACAGAATGACAATTGCAGAATCCTGGTTCAAATAAGAATAGCAGAAATAACAAAAAAAGATTTAAGATTAGAAAATACTTCACCTTATGGAAGCCAGACATCATTTTAAGAGAGAGATTCTCATAACACCTAAATACAAATACAGATTAAGCATAATTCAGCTCTTTTATAAAATAAATAAGTTAAAAAAATATCCATAAACTTACCAATTTTCAAGAAGATGGCTGGGCATTTCAACAAAATCACCCTCCACATTCAAACCTGAAAACCTAGAAAAAGCTGCACGATTGCAAATATGATGAACCTGAAAATCATGTGAAACTTTTGTCATGAGAAATCAACATAGAAAAAGGAAAGAAACTAAGCAAGTGATCAAAGGACATTAGCACATATCCAAGAAACACAAATTTGAATGCCAAACTCGACTCAGTAATATGGCCAGTCTTATGCTCAACCACGTCAACAAACCTATCACATCATCTGATTATTATTCCCATTATCTAAAATAGAGCATCAATCTAATAATAAATAAAGATAACTACTTCCACAAACCTATGACAGGGATCAATTTCCGTACAGTGTGCAAAAAAGCAATAAAATCGTAGAGGTACAAATGCTATACCAGCCGCAACAAAAGAACCTGTGAAGCAACACAGAGTAGGTGACGTGTTGTGGGACAAAAATTCAAGAACTCTTGATTTATTGTCTCTAATTTAATGAAAGCCAAAAAGAAACAGATAAAGAGAGAGAGTAACAAGAAAGATGGGGGCAATTTTCTTCCTAAGAAAAAAGAATGAAAGAGGTGAGAGAAATCTAGAGAAGGAGGTGTCCAACAACGAGCCTAGGTGAGTTCACCATCAACTTGATGATAGGAAATATAATGTAGTTTTCTAGGCGTTTTTGTCAGATTAACATTTAAAAGTATCTAAGAAGATGACGATTGATGGCAAAAACAACTGTAGGAAAGATTTGGAGGACAACCTTTTTTTCCCTGATTAGTGAGAAGATTTTGTGAAAAACTTCACGTGATTGGTTTTTCTATCTTTCAGCCATGAGGTAAATGCATTACAAAGTCATTAGGCTAGTGCATGGTTACCACTCTATCACGCAAAACGAGGCTAAACTAGTGATGTTTTTTTTAAATATGCACTTAGTTGATCACTAATGTAGAAGCAAAAATGCTATCACTTCTTATATGGGTTCAAGAATGTGATAAGACAGCCTTTAGTGGCTTTGGGCATTGAGGATTACAGCCCTTATCGAGAGTGCAAAGATAGAGATAGATCAATTGGCTATACAGAAGTGTAGAGATTTCAAAAGAGAAAGGAAGTTGAGTGGTCAAGATCTGGGCAGGCCAGTCAGTTTGTTTTGTATGGTAGTCCAATTGAAAGAGGCCTAAATCCAATAGCAGTGTCAGTGACAGTGAAAGTGGCAGCAACAACATTGTTATGAGATATGTCTAAGTGTGGAAAGGCGCATAAAGAAGAATGTCTGTCGGGTACCAACAACTATTTTGGTACCAACCAAGACGTATATCAATATTCCACCCTACTTTGGGTCACGGCCTTCTGTAGACATGAGCTGGTGCTCTACCCTCCTAGTGTAGTTTTGGCAGACCGAGATAGATTGAGTCAATAAGATTAGCTTCATCTCAGAGTTAAACCCGGTGTGCAGCCTTAGGTTTATGCACTAAGTGTCGGATGTAAATGATTCACCTGACATCATTACAGATATTTATTTACTTCAGTTAGATCTGCCAAATCTTTATTTTATATTAAACTTTTATATTTTCTTTGTTATAAATATCATATATATCCAAAATTTATTGATCAAAATTTTATTTAATCCTAGGGCAACACATTCTTTGTTCCTAAAAAATTTGTGAGAATTGAGGGACTGAACACTGCAAGGACGCTTGATATATTAGATCATTTTTTCCTAATGGGACACGCGTATGATGGATAGAAGTTGTTAAGTGAGTATAATCATCTGTGAGAAAAGCTTGAAGACGAATTTGGTAGTATTACACTAACTAAATTCGAAGTAATCATGATAATGGATTAACTAGCAATCATTTTGCAACTATAAATTGCTCTAAAAAGATAATCAATACCAATATCTCGAGCAAAGAAAAAATTAAATTGATCAATTGATGTATGAACTATGTTAATGTAATTTAAATTTCGAGGATAAAATTTTTATAAGGATGAGAGCTTATAATAATTAAAAACAAATACATAATTAAAATTAGATAAGTTATAATAATAATAATAAAAAGTACCATGCATGATACCTACAATGCAATTGTCGTTCGAACGAGATGTGCCACCCATGGCTACAATAGGGGTTAACCCCTCCTTCAAACAAAATAAATGAGAAAAAAAGATTGAGACAGCAACGGGTGCAGGAGAGGAGGAGAAGGCGAGAGATAGGGGGAGTGAGGGAGACTGAGCAAACAATGTCTCAACTGAGCGACTCACAGAAACTTTTCCTATGTGCGGGAGATGCTCGATCGAGTGACAGCAAGCTTCAAACATGAAGAGTGTCTGACTAGGGAGAAAAGGGAAAACCACAAGACTTTCCCTCTAGTGGGAATTTCTTTCCACACTCGAAACACTTGAACGAGCCCTGCTCACTCTAAGCACAAGAATGGATAGACAAAAAGGACAACGTGAGTTTAAACTGTGAGGACATAAAGCAAACCATTAAATTTTATTTTTTCATTATTTCTTATTCCTCATATTAGGGAAATTGCTTCGTAGCATTGGAGAAACATTTTCAAAATCCTTAAAACTTAAATTTTCTAGATTGTTAGGGTATTTGTGGGAGAAGAAATCAAAATAAAAAAAAACTTCAAATATGACATCTAATTGTCTCAGCTCACAATGGCATGGCCTTGATCTTTGTAGTATTCATCTCGGCAATGTTGATGCCATAAACTGTCTCATCTTGGTAAAAGACTACGGTGCCACCCAGCAGACAATGGCCTCAATCTTTGTAGTTTTCATCTGAATACATGCACTATACATCATATAACCCAAGTAACATACATGTGATGCAATAAAGTGGCACTTCTTTGGATGGGTGTAGAGCTTCTTTGATCGTAACACCTTGAATACTATCCTCGGATGGTGTAAGAGCTCCTCCTCGAATCAGCTATATCCAGAATGTCGTTGAAGTACGCCACCACAAACTTTTCGATGTGGGACCAATACACCTAATTTATACACCTCATTAATGTGTTGGGTGCATTAGACAATCTGAAAGACAACTGTCTACTCGTACAATCCATCCAGAGCCTTGAAAGCGTTCTTCCACTCGTCATTTGGCCTCATCCGAATCTGGGAGTACCCACTGCATAAGACAACCTTAAAAAAGAGAATGACTCCATGCAACGGATCCAAGAGATCGTCCAAGCAAGGTATGAGAAACTAGTACTTGATAGCAATCTTGTGGGTGGCCCTACTATCAATGCACATCCTCCACGATCGTCTTTCTTGAGTACCATCAGGGAGGCAACATCACACGAACCGGTTGTCTCTGACCAATTCTCTCGCGATGAGATCATGTATATGTATCTCGGCATCTCGTATTCTGCAGGCCTCAATCTATAGGCAGGACGATTTGGTAATACCGATCCAAAAAATGAGATTGATGATGTTTTTAATATCTCTTAGTGGTGGCAATCCCTCTGAAAGGCTATCAGTCATCATATCCTGAAATTAACATAGCAATGACTGCATTGCTGCTGGTATCTCACTATCCTCAGTTCCTTTAGTAGGACCAACACCATTGTTGCTGAAGCATTCTGAACTGACTGCATGAAAGTGTCTCTCGAGCTAACACCTCGTCTGTAACGTCAACGTCTCTCGCATCCTTGACAGGTAATAACATGAAGTGTTTTCCATCTCTTTTAAATGAAAAAATATTTTTGAAGTCGTCGTGTTGGGTTTTGTGGTCGAAGTGTCATGGCCTCCCTAACATTACATGACATGCATTCAAATGAAACACGTTACACGACAGTCGCTCCTGTAACTGATCTCCAATCAAAAAAAATTCAACCAAGCACTGTTGATCCATACATATCTCGTTTCCCCTCATCAACCAGGTAAGGGAGAGGTTTGAATATGCTTATGTGTAGCCAATCCCAATTTCTTCACCATCAATGTGGATACTACATTCTCACAACTCTCATTGTCAAAAAACAAACTGCAAATCTTGCCTTTCAACGTGCATTTGATGTGAAAAATATTGTCTCAGCCATGAATGATCCTTTCATGTCTCCGTGTGTAGGGCAATCTGTATGACGAGCATCTCTCCCTCATCCCCTGGAGCTGATGTTCTCCAAAGATTCTCCTCTGTTTCCTCCTTGAAGACGCCCTATTATGTGAACAAAGCAACTCTGCCAGTGGAATAGCTGGAAGCTACATGTTCATAGCCAAGGCATCTGAAACTTTCCTGGCAGGCACTGTATTGAGCCAACCATCCTTTTTTGGTTTTATTCCAATCAGATTTGTTGTATCGCATCTGTATCATATCTTTCCAACTAAAGTTTACCCTTGTTGGTGAGTGCATTTACAGGTGATTTCTTGCATGGGGACTGTTGTCTAATTGAGGGTTATTGTCTACTTTGTTTCTATTGTCTCTCCACTTTCTATTGTCTCACAATTACCAATACGACTATAAATTCACAATGTTTCAGATAGAGGGCTGCAGCCCCCCAGATAACGGGTTATGATATGTTTCTTTGGCTCGATCAACTCACACTTTATATGCAACTAATCAAACTGTGTCGTGAACTCCTCTACTAATAGATTTTATTTTTTTTTTTGAGAAAGCCCAAAAGCTAATACATTAAAAGAAAATAAGAATACATATAGATTGTGTGGAAGGACCCAAACATCGCACCCTCCCCCCACGATAACTATCACATACAAATGGTTTCAAAAAAAGAGAAAATACAGAAAATTACAAAAGACCTAAAGAATAAAACAAAAAATGCCAAAAAACATAGTATCAGGTAGCTAGAGAGCGTCTCAATTTTCCTTTGTCTCTACCTCTAGTTCTAGGAAAGGAGCCAGCCAATAAATTGGTAAGATGAGTGTCATTGTCAGTAGTGACCAAAGTATCATCCAATAAGTTTCCAACCTCGAGTCGGCCTCCAGTCTTCTTCTCCCTTCTGGAATAGAAATGTCATTCTTCATCCGAAGATTGACTCGCCTGATCAGTGGATTGGTCTAAAGTGTGCGGACATGTGTAGGATGTTGAACCTTAGAAGTAACTGCTTGTTGTACCAGCTGATCT